GTGTGTGTGTGTGTGTGTGTGTGTGTGTGTGTGTGTGTGTGTGTGTGTGTGTGTGTGTGTGTGTTGAGGCGTGCTGTGCATGTTCTTGATGTTCTGGTACATTTTGACCTCCTGGCTCCTGTCGGGGATTGGGGTCCTTCAGGACTCAGTCTGATGAACCACTCAAGTCTTTGTGCGTTATTTTATAAAAAATATTTCAGTCTCTCACTGTATCTGCTGTATGTATGTCTATAAGTAGAGTACTCACTTTGACCAGTGCACCTAAACCTTTCTTGAATCAGTTTTTCTCTGTTATCCAGACTTATCCACCCTTTAAGAACAAAATTCAGAAAACAAAGTCATGCAGCCAAATTGTGTTACAGTTTCTGAATGTAAAGCAAGAAAAAGAAAGTATTTTCTTAGGATTACATTTTTGTTTTTATATTCCTTTAATCATTTTTCATTTAGTTTAGGCAGTCAAAGGCTGGTTAGGCAGCAGGTAGAGGTTACTGTACCCATGTGATTTATATTTTCCTATTTCTGGTTTTCAGATCTTCATTGAATTATGAATAATTCAACAATAAGCCCCATGACAGAGAACTCCGCATTTTTCCCTAACACATTACAGCAGTACAAAGTAAAAAACTGTAACTGTGTTTAAAACTTATAAAGAGCAAGTTCAGACACCACCAGATACTTTGAGAGTGCCATAAGTGATGATTCGCTCATATTTTTGTGTGGATCCAACTTAAAATTTCCTAATATTTCCGCTAATTTTGCCTTAAACAAGAATCACCATGACGATTGATTTTCTTTTTCTTTTCTGACAGTGAAGCGGAGAGATCTGTTCTGTCAGCTGGAGATGGCTGAGGGACAAGAGTGTTTGATTTCTGTGTGAGGGTGTAACTGAATGGAGGTCATGAAACACTGTTAGGCTGTTTGTGTGTCTGTGTGTGTGTGTGCGCACATGCTTGCTTTTTTTGTATGTGTGACTGTTGATGCTCGAGGGGACGACCAGTCATAGTAGACTGTTTAACTTCTGGAGCTGAATCAGCTGGCAGCACACACACACACACACACACACACACACACACACACACACACACACACACACACACACACATACACACACAGTTACAAGGAGGGTATTTGTGCTAAATCACAGAGCTCTGGCTTTTATTTTTAAGATGAGTGATGTGGAGTTTTATGTGTGCATGGATGTGTGTCTGTCTGTAGGAGGTCAAAGGTCAAGGTTGAAGCAGTCTGGCTGAGCAGGAATAAACTCTGAGTCAGCTCTGCTCATTGCATCATTACATTAGCTGCTGTTTCTCTGACTGACTCCTGCTTGTTTTCATGTCATCTGTTAGTTTGGATAAAAACACCTTGTTTCACATCTCACTGAACGATTCACCAGATCAGTTCATTGTAGTTGGTGATTGACAAATATTATACAAATCACATTACTGTACGTGAAGTATAAAGAGATATTCTATTTATCTGTCTGTCTGTCTGTCTGTCTGTCTGTCTGTCTGTCCGTCTATCTAGTTTATTATCTTTGTAAAGTAAATGTAAAAATCTGTCTTAAATGAGGGGCCACATGTGTGAGACTCTGAAGTGTTAGAGTCAACTGAGATTTATCACAGTCATGCTGGTGCCCTTATTTTCTATGTTCATTCATTTTTTATGTTATTTGTTCCACAGATTGAACTCAAAATGTATCAGCTGCTTTTTATACTGTTATTAATTCATGATCAGAGTCACTGAAATGGATCTTATTACTGGTATCAGGTTTTTTCAGTTTTTTCTTTATTTCAGCAGGCTAATGCAGGGGCCAAAGCTGTGTGAGGCTGCCGAGGTTTGCAGGTGTTGTGCATGCAGAACCCAATACAGAAATCATTCTGGTGTCAAATTTAGATTAGAAGTTATGATTCTCATGAAATGGATGCAGCACTAAAGCAGAAATTTGAGCTGTGTGTGTTAGAGCTGCAGCCTCTTAGTCACTGGTGTTTGTTTTGACACTAACACAGATTAGAACACTGTTACATTACTCTCTCTCTCTCTCTCTCTCTCTCTCGCTCTCTATCTATCTCTCCCTCTGTGTGTGTGTGTGTGTGTAAGTGTGTTTGTTGGGGGACTTTAAGAGCCTGTGTCTGTTTGCCCTAATTTTTGAATGTGTGTGTGTGTGTGTGTGTGTGTGTGTGTGTGTGTGTGTGTGTGTGTGTGTGTGTGTTTATAGAGATTACAGTGTGTTCAGTGGTATTAAAGAGCTTAAAAAGGGACGTGATGGTCTGATCGTCATTCCTAGATGGCCTTCACACACACATACACGCACACGCACTCACACACACACACACACGTATGCACACACAGTACGTACATACATACTGTTCGTGAAATAGATGCATTCAAGACATGCAGCTTTCTGACAAAATAGTTACAGCTTCTTTAAACTCTCTAAAAAGCTCATGGCATGAGAATTACAAGCATTAGGACTACAAATGTCAACTTGTCTTAACCTCAATGAAATGTCTAAATACTCATAAAGATGATAAATACGATAAGAGTTTCTCAGAATTTCGTTTTTTTTTTAAATGTAGAAAGACACAATTATTGAGTACAGCATGTGTGTGAAAGTGTGTATCAGTCCGTTTCAGTGTTTGAATGATTAACTGCTGAATATTAGTGAGGCGTGACTGACATCTAGTGGACAATAAAGTAACTGCTTATCAAATTCTGACTCAACATTTTCAAACTGTAAAAAAAAAACAAAAAAAAAACATTGATGTCCTCTGCAGATCATTACACTCAAAACTGTTGGACCTTTAATACAAAAAAGCCTATATTTATGAAACAGACTGAAGTAGTGGTTTTGCTCTCCGTAACAAGAGAGTAAGTGATAGACTATGTGATTATAGTTTTTCTCAGTTGCTTTGGTGCATTTCTCATATCACCATTATCATTTGCACAACATTAGTGCATTTCTCAAAACAGTTCAAACTGCAAAACCTAGTTTATAACCCGCAAAAGCATGTCACTTGCTCAAAATGGACAGTTGATTTCTTAAAAGCAAGCAATCGTGTCAATGATGGTGTCAGTGTCATCAAAATGAAGAGTCCTGATACCATTGTTTCTGAGCAAAATAGTCTAATTGTTTTGTCGTGTTTTCATTATGACAGTCAGATCTTGGTGACACTACCTGAAAATGCTCAAGACAGCAGTATACACTATTTGCACACCAATTTGAAAACTACAGTAAACACACACATTACTGTATTTAGTGAAGTAACTGAGAACAAGACACTAAATATTTATCCTGTGTGTTGTAGAGTAAAATTACAGTAATGTTCAGTAAACGTGATATACTGTGTTAACCACAGACTGTATATACCATGGACAACTTGGTACCACCTCCCGCCTGTTTATGGATTTGAAGCCACAAAGCTCTCTGTATTTCTGCAATTTTTCTTCATTTCCTGAAACCAACATTGCGCAGTAGCGTTGTACGCATTCAGCGGGAGAGTCCCCGAGAGTCACTGTGATGACGCTCAGCTCAAACAGCGCATCCTCCAGGTGAGCTATGCAATCCCTGAACGCCAATAGACTGTATCGTGTGTCAATCATAGAAAACATGAACCTCTTAATAACTTTTAAAAGTGGAGCTTCACAGAATAAAGAAGACTTGAGCACAAACCAGTCTTACTGTAACTACATGTCAACATCACAACAAGGGGGGAGAAAATTTTATATTCTGTGTAATTAATTTCCAAAGTTTGTCCACAGCTCCATAAGCTTTGCTGGAGGAGACGGGATTTATGACCTATACTGCAGCCCATCAACAGAGGGTGCTGTTCTTGGAGTGGCTTCACCCAGTGAGGAGGCAGACGCTGTCCATTTTATATACAGTCTATGGTGTTAACCCATACTACTGTAGTATACAATAACACTGTTTCCTATTTGTAAAACACTGCAGTACAGTACCCTACTGTAAATATGGTAAATCTTTACTGCAACATTATTGTACACTACAGTACAGTGAATTTGCGCTGCAGTAAAGCTCCAAGTCTAAATGTAAAATGTGACCAGTTTTCTGTCTGTGAGCTTCATGTATAACACAATGACAGTAGTGCAGTGCAGAGCAGACTGTTCATTGCTGAATTACGGTCCAAAAGACATACGTGTTCTTCCGACCAAATGTTCGAATAATTTATTTAAAGTGTTTACACAGAGGGCGCCACAACCATTACAAATGAAGCGTTCCTCAGAGGACCATTAAAAAAAGTAAGTACACAAAGTGCTTCACAAATTACATAGAATTCACTACTTAAAATCGAATGCAATGACACACTCTCAAGGATGTCAGTTTGACAGTCTTCACTACGAAATGTGAACATGTATTTACAGTCAATCCAGTAACACATGAAAATCCAAAGAAACCAGGCTTAATAGCTCATAATTAGATCAAACTACGGCACTCGTTAAAGGTAAAGACTGTCTAAAACATGGATGTGGTCTCGGAGACGTCATTATAGTTTCTCTGGAGGCATTATGAAGCTCATCAATGGTTATCCCCACATTGGAAATGCTGACTCACCCTAACTTTTGACAAATCAAGAAACATACAAAGAGCAGAGCTGGCTCGTGGCAACACACCCTTTTGTCAGTCACCATTTTGGTGCCTGGTCAATAGAGGGCGCTAATGTGTTACCCCACAAAACTTCAAAAGGAGAACTGCAGACCATCAGTTAGTATTTAGATGCACTTAACAAATTGAGTTATTAATATATATATTGAGTTATTATCTTAGTCCAACAGAATCTGGACTTTAAAAACCATGTAAACATGTTAGTCTGACTGAAATTGCACTGAAATCAAACTTCTCATAGTCTAACTAACATACCTGAATAATGCAACCAGAGATTGATTTTTTCTGTTATGTCTACGGCTTAACTGAACTCAAACTGGCTTAAGCATTCAGCGCATGCTCCAGAGGTACATGTAGTATACTGAAAAAACTTCAATTCAACACAGTGTGGAAAAGCTGTAGAAAGCTAAGCCTGATGCGTACAGTGCTAAGAGTCTTTGTAGTTTAAATGGACTACAGAGACCATCAAAGCAGGCACTGGCCTCCTCTGGTGATGATGGTGAGATTTTCCTTTAAAAAAATAGAGGAAGACATGCCCATGTTGGTGCAGAGTGCTGAGGAGAGTGAGAGAGTGAGCAAGCAGAGGGTGTTAATTCACTCATGCTCCTGCGTCCTCAACTGTTAAAGGGACAGTTCCTGTTTTTCCTCTCTCAGGATGTCTGACAGTAAATCAGCAGAAAGCAACCTGTTATCTGTGGACTTTGAAATCTTTGGTCACGTTCAAGGTCTGTATGTTTAATCCTCCTCCTCCCTCTTCTTCTCCTGTTTTCTGCTGTGCTGCGTCAAGGCTGTAAACTGATCTCCTGGATCCTAATTTAGGAACAAGTGCTGGTCTGCTGCTGCTGCAGGCGGGACAGGATCTGCCTGCATGCTCACTTCCTGCAGCTCTGATATTTTAGCATGCGAATAAATGTATTATTGATATCTTTTCACAGCAGTCTTTGGGGGAAAAGATCTATAACATTTAGAGAAGAAATGTACATATGCTTGAAGGCTTCATTTGTGTTTTAACCAGATAGTATTGATTTTTGTTTGCTGTTTTCAAAAACATACATGAAGTCATTCTTTATTCTTTCTCTCTTTCTCTCCATTGTTGACAGGGGTCTGTTTCAGAATGGTGAGTTTCTTCAAAACTGTTTGCTCCATTTAGTACCTTCATCGCTTTTACCATATTTCCATTCAGTAACACACATTTCCATTAAACAACCTGCAACCTTTGGACTTTTTATACAATAGTTTATTAAACTCTCTAAACTTCCAGAGTCTCTAATAAAGCTTACAACCAAGTGGGTTATTTGTTTCCATGTTACTCAAAGAAGCATTAACAAAACTATCTCCTCTAATGGATGACAAGCCTCCAAATACTGACACATATGGATAAATGGTCGCACAACATCTTATACGATCACTTTAGTGGCTGACAAGGTAGCACCTGTCCAAATTATTCTTTTATAGGAGAAACATCAATTTGTATCATTTGAGCCAATGTGCAACTTTAAAAACACACACAAAACTCAAAAGTAACACAGCAGCAGAAATGTGCTGCAAATGATGAAAAGATGCTGAAAAAAGGCCAAAACAATGGTATTAACAGCAAATTCTGCAAATGATAGAAACTGCAAATATTTTTTTTTATTAAAGTTTGGCAGACTTGGAGTAACAGGTTGAATAGTGGAGGTAAAGATGAAGAAAAAGGAAGGATGGTTTGATATTGGGTTTTGACATTTATGGGGCTGGGAGAAAGGACTGGGAGAGAGGTTAGGGGGATTTGATGGAATATCTGCATTATCTCTGTTTACCTGAGCTGGTTTCTGTAAGGCTGCTTGAGGAGACCTAACTGCTAACATGAATGTAACCTCATAACCTGATGCTGGGCAGAGAAATTTAGTCTTACCCCCTAGCTATGCAGCTAACTCTAGGCCCTAGAGTATTGCAGAGTATCAGCAGTACACAATCAGTATATGATTCAGAACACAGCCCAGCATCTGGTCTCTGGCCAGCCTGAAACAGAACATTATTCACCGGTCTCAGTAAATTCCAAACCCTACTTCTTGCTTATCGAGCAGTGACTTGAATACCTAATCTACATAGGCAGGATCTGCAGAAGAGAGCTCTTGGTACTCCAATCACAACAGGCCACAAGTCACTAGCTAACTTCTAATTCTCTGTTGTCATCTAACACCATTCAATACACAGAGTCCATTTGTACCCCTATGAAAAAGCTGAAAACTCTGCTCTTCAGGGGACACTTAATATGCACTTAAGCTAGACTCTTTTCCTCTGTAGTCCACTGAGGAGGAACAAGTCTGCTTAATGACATTTTAAACAGCATTAAAGAGAGTTTCAGACCCAGCTTTTTGTGAACAACTCTACACTGAGATGTTTGATGCAGGAGTTAATGTTAATAACAATGGCACTGATGATTATGATTTCATAAAGATGATGATGATGAATAAAATACAATAAACAAAGCAAACACCACCTGCATTGCTCTTGCACAGCTGTGTCCAGTTCGAGGAGAAGAGGTTTGCAGTGCTTACTCATGTTTTTTTCCCCTGCCTTGCTGGAAAGAGCCTCTGCTAAATGAAACTGTGACAGCCCAACAGAGAAATTCTTGCTAGGCTTTTCCCTAGCATCCTGGAGTTACTACCTTTGACCCCCTACACAGGTCACTGAAAATGAGGAGAGGGCTTTACCCGACCTCCTCTCGACTCCTTGTATTTGCAGCATGTTCTCCAAATGAAGAGCCTTTGTAACTTTCCTTCTTGATCTCAGGACCAAAATAAGGTTTTTCAAAAGAATTTCCCAAATCCAGTTAACTGTTTTCTCTTTTCCAAATTACTGAAGATTGGGCCATATATCGCTGATTTTTCAACCAGTGAAAATTCAGAAGAGACTCAGCGCTGAGCCCTTTTTGTCTGTGTCTAACTTTGGGTTACTTTTTTATGATCAAAGAACCAGGAATTCCTTCATGAGTCTGTTTTTCACAATGTGCCCATTTCCTTTTTGGCAACAGTTGGGTCTGGAGCTCAAATGCTGTCGTAATTCTAAATTGTAATGTTCTAGATGACAAGATGTGAAAACAAAGGTAGCAGCTATTACTCTCTCTGCACACTGCCTTTTTAGCTTTTATCCTCCTGTAGTTCTCCATCCGTGCACTGTTTGGACTGTGTTTGAGGTTTCCCCTGCCAGTGTGTGGACTGGTTTACTGTTGCTGCTTTTGAACATAACCTTTCTGCATACATGTCTGCTTATTATCCAAACTCATGGAATCAGTTTTTGGCTGTCCATGTTTACAAGACTGAATCATACCAGTATGCCCAGTATTAATCTCTTCCTTTCTCCCTACAGTACACAGAGAAGGAGGGTCTACAGCTGGGGCTGGTGGGCTGGGTGAAGAACACTTACAGTGGGACAGTGGTGGGACAGGTCCAGGGTCCTGCGGACAAGGTGGAGGAGATGTGAGTAACACCAAGTGAAATACAACCAAGTGACAAACCTCTATCACTGGCAGACTGAGCCGAAGCAGAAGTGGATCTGAATATTTTTTCCTTCAGTGTTCAAGAGTGACCTTTAGTTTTGCAAACTACTTTTTTTGCAGTGGCTTTTTTATTGAATCAGCCACTAGATGGCACTCTTCCCCTTCCAACAAACCTCACCAGCCAGCACAGCTGTAGTTTGGTGTTATGTCACACAGAGAGCTGCAGCCTCTTCAGGTTTCTTGTCCAGTCATGTCCTAACTCTTGAGGAGGACAGTTTCTCTTGGTTTCCTTTTACAAAAGCTGGACACAAACCTCATCAGCGTCACTGCAGGATGCTGTGTTTGAAGATAGTCCTGGTTCATTTCCTTCACTCTCCGTGTTCTCTCTTTTCCTCCCTGTTAACTGTATGGACAGCTCTAATCAATAATCAATCATCAGACTGAAGCCTGAGCTCAGTTCGTCCCAACTCTCTCTCTGTCCAATATGAATAATGTCCGCAGGGTGTGGACGTCCAGTTCAGATGACATCACTGCCTCAAGGGACACACATGAAACTACATACAAAGACAGACACACTAATGAGAGTGAATTAGTGATATCATTCTTGGTGTTGGTTTTCAAACCCTTGTAGCCTCAGGCGGGTGGAGTTTAGTAATTCAGCTGCCAGCCAAGAGCTGTTTAAGAAAAAAGATGTCATTTTTTAAATAGGTTTAAAAGAAGGATTACGTGTGAAGAGTAATTAAAAATGAAGTTAATGTAGTATAAATGCTTCCAGGGTGGACTCTATTATAACAGCAGCACAGCAGCTGTCATTAACAATGAAATAAAAATGAATTTAAAGCATTTCTTTACAGGATTACAAAGGGCTTCACACAAAAGCTTTTAAAAAGTTATAATTCAGGGCAATTTTGCCTTTATTCAGTATGACAGCTGAAGAGAAAGATGATGTGCAGAGTGGAGGGTGGGGGACATGCAGCAAAGCATTTTGACATGGACTTAAACCACTGTGAGGAGGACTATAGCCTCTACATGTGAGACACTGAAACCCTTTGGCCATCATCTCGCCAACCTTATTTTTTTATTACGTTAAAGGAGATATATGACTGAATATAGAGAGGTGTTTAGTCCAATTAAAAACAGCGGAGAAAGGCAGGGGATGTCAAAGATACAAAACCTGTTGGCTACAACGCAGAAATCGATCCAATTAAAGATGGAAACAGAGCTGGCCACTGTCGTCATAACATTTTTTTTACATTTTACACTGAATCAAACATTCATTTAAAAGTCAATCATTTAAACCTTAAACTTCTGTAAAAGCACCTGAGAGGAACTTTTGCTTTATGTCAGTTTTGATGCCCTCATGTTAACAAAGCAGTCTTTGCTTACCATGCCAAACAGTGTCTTGACGAAAATCTTATCCTGCTGACTCTGATGCTCAAATGTATTATTTACTTTTATGTGGACATTGTAAAAACAGGGCTGTTTCCTCAGCAGACACCTAACCCCTCACACCTGACTTGGGCATCCAAGGTTACAAACAAAAAAAAAATCAAGCCATCTGAATTTCGGTCTATTATATAGATGTTAAAAAAACCTCTAACAGGAGCTTTAATTTTGTATTTTCTGTCCTGTTGTCATTTTCACATCATTTCACTTCACACACAATGCAGCACTGTGGCAGCAGACACCTGAGCAGTCATGTCAACTGTGAATTACACGGCTGTTAAAGTCTGCTGTTCTACATGATCGATACTATAAAGGGGACAAAGAGTCAGTTCGAGCTGAGCCAAATGATTTGGACCACTAAAAAAAGCCTGAATTACCATCACTAGTTTTTACCTGAGGTGAGGAAGGATCCAAGCTCTACTCTTAAAATAAATCACTTGAACATGAGATCTAAAGTAACTGTAAAATAAAAATAAAATACAGAGAGAAAAATGTCACAGATGAGGCTGAAAGGCCTGGTCAGGGTCCAGTGCTGATCCATGTAGTTCTGTTAACCATGTTTTACCTCACCATCATTGGAAATGTTCAGTTTAATATGAATATAGTAGCAAAGTAAGCCCATTTTCAAACAGAGTCACAGAGTCTATATTAACTCTAACTAAGAGCTAAATAATAGTTGATTTGAGCTTGAAGAGCTAATAAATCATTGATAACCTGGCTGTTCCTTTTATTCACACTCTGATTCACACCCTTCCCCATTAAAGAGATTAAACATACTCAAATATTTCCGTTCATTCTTTCAGCCAGCTTTTCAATGTTAACGCGCTCACACTCACGTCCTTCCTGTAAACTCCACTTTCACCACGACCTCACTTCCTGCTGGGCCTGGGAAACAGGAAGCAGCTGCTCCTCTGGACAGGGCAGGGAGGATGATATAATGGATAGAGGTAAGATGGAGAGAGCATGAGGACTATAGGAGAGGAGAAGGAATGTATGGAAAAGAGGGGAGGAGAAAAATGAACAGAGGAAGTCAAAAGAACAGGACTAGGCAGATGTAGGAGGAGAGAAATGACGAGCTGCTGGTGGTGGTGGGAGGTAAACGTGTGGGTGGTTTCCTTTTTTTCCTCTTGAGAAGAAAATCCTGGAGTTCTGTGAGAAAAAAAAGAGGAACAGAAAGAAATAATTAAGATAGAAGAACAAAAATCTGTGATAAAGATGGAGAGAAAAAATAAAGTTGCTGATGTGACTTAGATTATATTCATATAGAGGCATCTGTCATCTATTCGAATGTCAAAAATTGGGAATGTTTCCATTTTAGTTTTTTTATTGTAATAAGCTGTACACAAGTGTTAAACTTAGATGAACATGTTTTAATACTGTGCACGCTAAGGGTTGAGTGTTTTCTGGACTTATAGATGGTAAAAATATAATTTTCTTACTCTTTCCTTAATTTACAATGCTGCTCCACATGATCTTAATTGCCTGATATTCTCCTCAAGCCCTGATATTAAAGTCGTGTTTACACATTCTTAAATTCAAGGTCTACAGTATGGCACAGAGGTTTTTGGGCAGGTCTCACTCTTTGGAAAGATATTGGCATCAGTGAGAGTGCAGTTATATGTGCTACTTGCACAGTGTCAGCAGTGTGAGGCGTGAAAATGACAAATGCATGAGGTGGAAAATAGCTCTGAAACTTGCTTTTTGAACCGTGATGGAAGATGGGGAGCTCCATCTCAAATCCCATCCCTGATGTATTGGGACCCAAACAGTCTTCTGGCCTCATTTTACTGTAGGATGGCTCTTGAAATCTCATCTGTAGTCATCAACTTTCAGCCTCAGTATGCGCAGTATCATGACTCACAGCTCAGTAAAGACACTGCTAACAGTGAACCAGTCTACTTTTTCCCATAAATATCAACATAACTACCATTTGCTCGATGTATTATGCTACATTTGCACCAGTAAGCGATGTGCAGTTATTCTTTGAAAGTTCATGATGATGCTAGTGTCCCCATATCTTGATCAGAGGGTTGTAGGTTTGACCCCTAATCCTGTTGTTGGTATCCTGATTTATCCACTTCAGCCCAGACTGCCCTGAGGCTGTGTCAACCCTGTTTGTGAGGGATTAGTTAGAACTGATATGTTAATACTGGCACTTTGGTGCATTAATGTGGTGTTAGGTATCATTTCAGCACAGTCCTTTTACATCATTTACACTTACATCAACACAGTGTCAAACAGTGCTCATCTGGGAGTGGTATAGTTTATTATAATGAGTGAAATATCATCAATCCAAGGTCAAAACATTGTGACAAATGGCTGCTTTAAAAAAAGCCAGAATGACTGTGAACAAACGAGCTCATTACTGAGCTGATCCAAATGATCTGCGTCAATGACAAAGAGCTTGAATTCTCACCACTACTATACAGGGAGGTATTTATCCACATGAAGTGAGAACATTAACACCATCCTGAAATCTCTCCACCCAGCTCTGTGGGCAAATGTTTTACTATATCTTCCAAAAGCGTGTCAGCTCCGGGCAGCTGTTTATCTGCTGTTTGTTTTTAAGCCCCTGTATTTAAGACAACTTTGGTTGCAGAGATTTTCAAGCTCAAATCAAACTGCACAAACTTACAGAAAAGAGCGTAAAGTCAGAAACCCAGAAAAAGTGAGGTTTTATGTTGATGGTAGCTATAATCTTGCGTTTGTGAAACCGTTTTAGTTCAAATAGCATATTAACACTAAACTCAATATGGATTTGTCTGGATATTATTGGCAGTAAGTACAGTGTTGACGTGGTTATTTTGTCATAACAGAAAAAGACTCACAAATGTAATGACTATTTGGCATTTTTTTTAATGGCTGTCCTCACAAGTATATAAGTATAACTGTGTTTGTGGATCACATAGATCTTTTTAGAGGAAAATGGCCGCAGATTACAAACCAGCAAACAGCTGCTGGAGACTTTAGACTAATCTCTGTGTGTGTGTGTGTGTGTGTGTGTGTGTGTGTGTGTGTGTGTGTGTGTGTGTGTGTGTGTGTGTGTGTGTGTGTGTGTGTGTGTGTGTGTGTGTACAGTAGAGTAGTAGGTCAAACATCAAATCAGTCTACCTTAGATGGTAGAAGTTTTTCTAGCCAAAATTAAAAAGTAGGACAGCTCATCGTCTCTCCCTCTCTTACTCTAACACTCTCCCTTTCTGTGTATCTCTCCATCTCCTTTTCTATCCCTCCCCCCTCTCTCTCTCTCTTCATCATTCTCTCCTCTTCATTTTCTCTCTCACTCTGTCATTTCTGGCCGAGCTTTAGTCAGTGCGGCCTCATGGACGTGACCCTGATCCCCTGAAAGCTCCTCTAATCTACAAACACACGATAGGAATCATCAGATGGTCGCAAAAACAGTCGGCGGTGAAACAGTCTTTCTGCGCTCAGATTCTCAGGCTTAAATATAGCTGAAGGAATGTTTGTGCTTTCCCATCATGCCCCTGGGTAACCAGATGCTGGTTTGACCCCGACTGGCTGGTCGTGATTTCTTTTAATCTACATATTTGCCTCTGACCCTCAGCCTTTTTACTCATCTCGTCATCTTCCTCCTTTTTCTCCCTGCGTTTCCTGTCTCTCTCCAGCTGGACTTGACAAAAAAGGTAATAATAAAATGCTAAAAAAAGAAAACATGTCCCAACGAGAACTGCAGCCAAAATCAGAAACTTTGAATCTTACTGATAGTCGGACATTATATCTACATAAATCAACAGCACAAAGCTGCTAAGCCTTGACTAGCCTAAGTAGGATTTATTTATCATGAATTTGGGTAAAAACACATTTCAGAAAACAAAACACAGCTGACCTAGATATAAAAAATGAAGACAGATCCTGCACTACAGACAAATGTTAAAAGGAACCCCCCACATTACGAAATATCCTCATTATATTCGCTTTGTCAAATTTTAGATGTGTGTCCTTAAAAACATTTGTTATAAATGAACAATGAATGATGTCTGTTGAGTTTTTATCAATAATATGAGTGCAGTTTCAGGGAGAAGGACAATAACACCAACTCAAAAAGGTGTGAGGTTAGAGCAGTGGTTCTCAAGTTCAGTCCTTGAGCCCCCCCTGTCCTGCATGTTTTGGATGTTTCCCTGCTCCAACACACCTGATTCAAATGATAAGCTCGTTATTAAGCCATTACAGAGCTTGATAACGAGCTGATTATTTGAATCAGGTGTGTTGGGGCAGAGAAACATCCAAAACATGCAGGACAGGGGGGGCTCGAGGACTGGATTGAGAACCACTGGGTTAGAGTATACAGTCGTAACAGCTGCTCACACCTGGCCGGATCCTGCATGTCCAAATGTTTCTGCAGTCATCATTCATGATGGGGTCTCTCTTTAGCTTCATATACAAATAGTCAACGATCTCAGTTCACTCTAACTAGACTTGAAAAAAAAAAACTATCAATGAAGCACAGAGAATAGGAAAACTGCGATCGGTGTTCAATCTGTGTCTTGTTTTGTTGAGCTCTACGATGAGCCAAGTGTTACCTTGTAGCTTTGTGATTCATAATTAAATTAAAAGGATTCCACTTTATATAAAATGAAAAAACTGTGGTAGAAATGCTCAAATTTATGAGGTAAAACTTGTCATATTATTGTGGCTGATAAACCACTGCAGGTTACATTTTCCTGCTTGTGTAATGAAAATATGTAAAGACAATGATAGCACTTGTAAAAAATGAAAAATAAGGCAAGGAAAAGTTCCTTTTGATTGGCCAAGAGCAGAATCAAGTTTATGGTGAACAGCTACAGAGGGACTGGTGAAAGACGAAGAGAGAGAGAGGTAAAACAGACAGGCAGACAGAAACAACTGACAAAAATACCTATGGTTACTGGTATAGTATAATAGTGACAGTCAGCACTATTTTAATTATAATATAGGTTTTGCCTGTTAATAATAGCTGTAGCAGCTGGAGTCAAGCAGGTTTGTAGTTGGAAACAGTCCAGAAAACCAACACAGGGACCTACAAGAACAAAAGACTCTTAAAGAAAATCTAAAGAAAGAAACACAAATTAATGAGACATGTAGGTATAGAGTTAGTAGCATGCAATAATAGCAAATGAATGCATATGAGAGGGGGAGATGAGGGGGTGAAAGAGAAGAGGAACTTAGTGTGTTAAGTCCACTGACAGTCTAAGCTTACAGCAACATAACTTTGACCAAAGCTTGAGCCAACTTTCAGCTTTTTCAAAAGTACAAGTTTTTTTTGAACCCTCCTCTTAATGTTCCTGACTGGTAAAAAGATGCCCTACCTCCCTCACTACTTATAGAGACTTTGGGTACAATGAGCAGACCTGGGTTGGATGGGTTGGAGGGCACTCTGGATTCATTGAGCAGCTTCTGTAGAGAAGCAAATACTGAAGTGATGTGAAATAAAATGTGACTCTTGTTGCAATACATGCTGCAGCATTGTGGAGGGCAGCCTGTTCAAAGGAAAGTGCAGTAGCTTTACATGGAAGTTACGGAGCCCCTAAAGGGACATGGATGGACTTTTTTTTTTTGCGAGATCTCGCAAAAGTATTGCGAGAGCTCGCAATAAGTATTGCGAGATCTCGCAAAAGTATTGCGAGCGCTCGCAATAAGTATTGCGAGATCTCGCAATACTTTTTTGCGAGATCTCGCAAAGTTCTGTCCTACTTCGGTGAACCGGAAGTAAAACAGACACACATGATGGAGGAGCGTACACATCATAGACATAATAAAAGGGTAGACCCCGCTGGGGGTGCTGCGCAGCGAGAAATGCGGCCGCCATCTTGGTCAGGTCAAGCTTCCCATACGCTCCGGTCAATCATATTCATTCATTCATTCATTCAGCGATGCCGGAGCACTGTGCGGCGTATTCCTGTGCCAACAGGCGGACAGCAGAGAACAGGGCTCAAGGAATAACTTTTCACAGTTATGATTACACGTTTTTTCAACATTACACTTGACTGTAGAGTCATTTGTAGGCCAAAGAGGAAGACAGTGGTGCAGAGTGAGGCGGATGACCGGACCAAGATGGCGGCCGCATTTCTCGACAGCGCCCATTCGTGGTAGCGGCCGATGCGGGGTCTATCTTTTATTATGTCTATGGTACACATCATCCGTGCTCTGTTGCTCCTTCTTCTTCTTATTATTATTATTATTTTAGGCTATTTTAGGCGTGTTTTACTTCCGGTTCACTGAATGGAGAAAAAACTTTTGCGAGATCTCGCAAAATGTATTGCGAGATCCCGCAATACGTTTTGCGAGATCTCGCAAAAAGTATTGCGAGATCTCGCAATACTTTTGCGAGATCTCGCAAAAAAAAAAAGTCCACCCATGTCCCTTTAGGGGCTCCGTAGGAAGTAAATAATTGGTGGACTAGTCTTATCATTCTGATACAATTCGATTTGCCTGATTTGGGGAAAAAGTACACTTAACCAATCAGAGCCTACAAATAACTTTATCTCCCTTTTCTAGATCAAAATACTTATTTACATCTGAGTAAAGTCACAGTACTTGCATCCAGGTTTTTAATCTGACTAAACTTGGTTTCAGTTAAGTCATCTTGTTGGTTTATCTGGCTTTCTTGATATGAATAATTGGGTGTCATCTACGTAACAATAATAAGCTCTAGAGGGTTTTCAGATATTCTACTATAGAGAATAAATGACTTCTTTAAATAAAAATCTTTCATTTAACCAAAAGTCACAAGAGCCTACTTGACCCTTTAAAACTCTGTATTTAAAGGGTCATGTGTTTGGACTGCCTATCTATCACACTGAACTAAAACTTTCACCTGATTATTGAGCATAGTTGAGTTTAACTTTGTTGAGTTCAAATTTGTCTGTGTCTCCTTAGGAAGTTTTGGTTGAGCAAACAAGGAAGTCCATCCAGTCGGATCACCAGAGCCGTCTTCTCCAACGAGAGATCCATCGATAAGGTGGAGGTGTCTGGCTTCAAGACTCGCTTCTAACAAACAAATCAAACCTACACTGAAACCTCTCTTCTCCTTTCTTCACTACAACACTAAGAGCTGCATATAATGTCCTAACTTGTGCAAGGACTTCAGAAATGATTTAAGTTTGGACTTTACATCTATGCTGTCATCAATTCAGCAAACAAAGACTGTGAGGCTTTGAGTTTATGCAACAGTTGGGTTTCCTGTGTTCCTCTCCTCTGTGTGTTCTCTCTCTCTGCAGCGCTGGAGGCACGGCGGGAGGCGGGGCTGGCCCAGACTGATTGCACGCACCTGATTCTCGTGGTGGTCAATTACCTGGCTTTATATGCCAGCTCCTGTCGACTTAGTGCCGGATGATTTCTCAGTCATGCAACACGTGTCTTGCCACACCGAGCTCCCTGATCTCCTGCCCGTGCATCCAGCCTGCCTCTCAGTGTTCGTTTGTGAGTTCTTTTGTTACTTTCCAGAGAGTTTTTCCCTTGAGCAAAGGTGATTTTGTGTTGGCGTTTTTTTCCTCTAGTTGAGAAGATTTTTTGGTTTACTATTTCTGTTGGACTTTGTCTTTCACATCCTTAGTTGTTACTTGCCCCACGTGGCACTATCATTTGAACTTTGTTTTTCACCAGCTATTTGCCTTGCTGCAGTGACTCTCTTTCTAACTCTGGTTTTGTGTTTTTTTTAGTGGCAGTCCGAGCTGACCGTGCCTTTTCCCGGAAACGGCGACTTTCTGTTCTTTGTTTATTGTCAATAAATTTGGGCATTTGCCTCTGCATTTTTGGATCCTGGCCTTTTGTTCGATTCGTAACAAAAGACTTTTCAATGACAGATTGGAGACAGAGTTTGTCATAGGGCATTTATTTTCTGACTGTTTTCAGGCATCCACCTGTGCAGCAGAGATGAAGCTAACACTTACAATTAGTAGCTGTAACAGCTACTCTATGTATGAAATATGGGATTACAACATTTTTGTTACTACTCTAATTATTTACATTATGTGTGTGTGTGTGAAATTGAGTTATGATCATGAAATAGGTATGTTAAAATAAATAATCATAATGTGAACACTTGATTTAATTTATTTTTTATTTGAAAATCTTTGAATTTGTAGTCAGTTTGCCGTTGGTCAACCTATTTGTTGATGTAATTCAGTCAGGAATCTACATTATCAAAGCTGGTTATCCCTCAAGGGTTGGTTGTAATCCCAGCTCTGGATGGCTATGGGGCAGGATTTACCCTGAACTGATATTTGTTAGTCAGAAAGCTGACACATAAACCACCCACAGTCACACTCGCACCTAAAGATGATTCAGAGTCATCAGTTAATCCAGAAATCATGTCTTTCAACTGTATGAAGAAGTACCCGAGGACGCCCACACAGACAACATTCAGACTGTACATAGAGAGGACTTAGCTGGTGGATACGAGCCCACAATCCTGCCGCAGTATGGTGAAAACAAACTATTCCTCCACCCTGCCATCAAAACACCAACCTTTTAGTTAATTATGTCATTATTTCTATGACAGTTATTGATAAACACACAAGAAAATGACTGAATGCAACGCCAAAGCCTTATAAAGAGTGATAGAGTTTAGTTTATAAGCCCCATGAGCATTTTTCTGTTGAAATTATGTTTTGAATGTGACAATAACCATCACTGGTCATTGCAGATGTTGAATTAACATTAATATGAGTCCAAGATTTTACCATATAGTCAGTGCTTATCACAAGATTCTAACTTGGATTCATGTCATGACATCTCTTTGCAGGCCAAACATTTGTCACTGTGTACCACTCTGATCTGTAGGATTTCTCTCAATGTTACATATTAACCAAAGGCGTCTTCCTGTTCTCGTAGTCGGAGGTGCTGAAGCATTGTCAATTTTTTTCCCCTCTGCTTTGGCCGTTGTTTTAAACTTCTTCCTGGACACTGTGTCTTTGGACCTTCATGAAGCACTTTGTACAAAATGAAAAAAAGTGTTTTGAAATCCTGTATTTGCATAGATTTAATTTAGGACAAGACATACAACATGTCTCAGCATAGAGTGTGACAAAAGACATGCTGAAATGCTGATTTAATTAAGCGGTGGAACTTACTCTGGACATATGACTTTTGCTCATAAATTTACTAAAATACATAAATTAGGGAAGATAACATCATATTCATCATAGACACATTCATCATACCGCATAGAGCAAGTGATCAAATCACCTGTCATCTGATCTGGTTAAATACAATAGTACACAAGAACTGTATTGATTCCCAAAGGGAAATTCATCACAGCAGGAGAAACTCTGATTAGCTGTCGCAGCAACAACAGAAACCCTGACACAGCAGAGATTCTGTTTACAGCTGCAACTCAGTGTGTTCATGTGTGTGTGTGTGCATGTGTGTGTTCGAGACAGAGAGACAGTCAATAGGCATGCTTTTAAGAAAATATTAAGCAGAAAATACAAAATGTCCATTAAATTCACCCAAAATTGAAACGAAACCTGAATGATCCTTTCAAATTCATTTTCTCCTAAAAGCAAACAGATCCTCTCTTTGAAAGCAATAAGAGTGTTTGTGCGAGTGTCAGCGCTCAGAGACCAACTCTCCCTAGATACAGTGTTAGAAGTGGACTCTTTGTCGTCATGCCAACCCGTCCCGAGACATCACTCTCACACAACACACACATAAACACAATCTGCATGAAAGAGGAGGGGGAGTTGGCTGTTTGAATAGGATCTTGATGTAATGACACACTTATATAACAGTAACACACACACACACTAACTCTCCATCTACTGTCATGATGGAGCTGTGTGTGGTTGGTGTGGGAACTGTTAAGGATTAATAGCTGTAGGCGTAGTCTTAACAAGAAATACACAACTCTGTCTGGCAAGTTTTTCTTTTAAAATCGTTCCTCTAAAACCCTTTGTGTGTGTGTGTGTGTGTGTGTGTGTGTGTGTGTGTGTGTGTGTGTGTGTGTGTGTGTGTGTGTGTGTGTGTGTGTATTGAAGATAATATATGATGTGTGTATTACTTACAGAGGAGAACTCAGGAGGAGATTGCAAAAAAACAGCACAGAAGAACACAGTTTGGACAAGATCAGCAAAGAGATTAGAGGAACTGCTTTCTCCACAGGGGTCAACACACACTAAGAGACCCTCAATCATCCAGATCAGCATCTTAGTTCATACTAAAATGCCTTAAACCAAATATCGTATTAACATCACATTAATGCACACTGGGGAAGTGCCAACAATAAAAGGCAAGCACTCTAGAAGACCGAGCTCCTTCAACAAAAAGAGACTCATATGGAGCTAATAACGCTGCAGGAAACAGAGAGAGCTGGAACATTAGCTTGGGTCTGGAATAAATGATAGTTGCATCATAAAACAGATTTTTAACAGTACCAAAGCTGCTGACGGACAAAATATTTGTTACTCATGTTGAGTAAACCACCAAAAATCAAAGCTCGACTGTTTTTTATTTTTGCAAAGGGTAACATGATAGACATGTGAAAAATCTGGGAATAGATCATGACCAAAAAGATTCAACATGAGAGTCTCTTTGTCATCGTTCAAAAAATACAAAGTTTGTGTTAGCTCGAAAAAGCAAAGTATGTTCAGAAAAATGGTCTCTATTTTTAACTCTCTGTTTTATAGGCTCTAATCTGGCAGTTGTTTTAAGTTGAGGTAAAAAGTTGATCATTTGGAATTATATTTTCTTCCACACTGCATGATGGTAATCTGGCGTTGACAGAACTATCAGCCAGCTTCGGTTCATTTTTACTGGCGTGGTGTGTTGCTGTTATTCTTGTGTGTGTTTCTCCATTAATGGCATATTTACTGACTGATTTATATTCCTTTGTTTAAGATGAAGACACAGGAGCACCACTCAGCTAAGATAGCGGCCTCTGCCACTTGAAGGTTTGTTGATTCCACCATCACACCCCTTTCAAATAAACTTAATGATTTATTTTCATGGACATAAGATGGAAAACTGTGCATACATAGTTCATTGGTGAGAAAGGTAAGTTTTATTTCACTTCTGCATAGTGCTGTCTGCTTACATTACTGTTGCTATGTTGTCACACATTGTATTAATCTGATTGGTGGTAGGTCTGTTCAACTTTCCTGTGCAACCTTTGCTAACGCTCCAGGAAAAATGGATTTTATTGAGCGGTTTCAGACCCATTTAGGTGGCTTGTTCTGATGATGCTATGCTACATTGACACTGGCAGACCAGAATCCAATCAGGTTAGTCTGAACTCACAGCCTCCAAACATCAGTTTCAGTCCACAGTATTCAGTAAGATAAATTTTTAATTTTACATAAATATAAACTCTTCTAAAGATTTTTTTCAGGGAAAAAAAATCAGGCTGATTCATTATCCGATGAGCTGTGTGTTTTCATAACAGAAATTATTATTTTTTCATTCCAACAGTGTCATCAGGCAGAGGTGAAGTGTGCAGGATTTGTTTCCTGCAGATTCATCTAATATGACTTTTTTTAATTTTTTATAACTTTCTGTTAAGTATGTATGACCATTGTTACAGTGGTTTGACCACTCTGAGTCAGTTATTTAACACTGCCCTAGAGCAACTATTAATTAGAGGCAAACTTCAGAAATAAAAAGAAGTCAATAATTTTTTTTCCTTGCATGTCAGGACAAAAATATTCTTACCTAAGAAAAAAACACAGATAAGGAAGAAATGGTGAATATGTACGTACTTGAATACACCTTGTTGTGCAACCTGGACACATCGTCATTGATGTTCCCGGGGTCATAGGGTGTTTCGGGTCTTACATCAGACACCCTCACCCGGGCGACCCAGCCGGGGGTGATCAGGCTCCGACTTGTGTCCAGGTAGGGGACACAAGTAGCAGCATTAGCAGCATCTTGAAAAATGTGCAAGATATAAGAAAATATAGCTTTCCAGATATGGTTGGTAAATTAAGTAATTTCTTTGGAAAAAAACAGGCAGAGCAGGACCGCATACAATTATAACTTGATAACTTCACCTGTACCTGGGACATTTTACTAGAAAGGAGCTGTACACTGCCATTAAACTGAGAAACACTGAGCTAAAATAGCCAGAGGATCAGGCGGTATTTTCGTGTTTCTACCCACAGAGATCTTCTATCTGATGTTGTGGTGTCTTAATGCATTTTAAAAACCTCCCAAAGCTGCTGAACCTTCCCAGACCTGACCATGAAAACAGTTCAGTCTCCTCACAGCCTGCATCATGTCCCTCAGTACAAACCCCATCACCCTCCACCTCCAACACTTTTCACACTTTCTGATGTTCCTCTTGAAATGTGGTGCAAATAATACAGCAAATAATAACACAGCCTTCCTCCTACACACCCATACTGCTGCCATCAGATAGAGAGAGAGAGAGAGAGAGAGAGAGAGAGAGAGAGAGAGAGAGAGAAGAGAGGCCACCCACACACTTCAACTGCCGTGGCAAAGCTGGCAAAAATCCACGGGGCTTTGACCTCTTCTTCTCCCTCCTCCTCCTCTTCCTCCGCCTCTTTCTCTCCCAGCAACCAGTTTGGCATCCCATAGTGGTCACCATGGAGACACCACTCATTCTGGAAGTGTTTTCCAGAAAGATACATAGAGAGTAGAAAAGTTGATGCCCACTTGTTCCAGCAGCTTTTCCTCTATCTTCCTCTTGTCTCCTCTCTCTCTCCTCTCCTACGTCCTTCCTGTATCCTTTCCTTACTTCCATCCTTCTATCCTCCTCTCTCAGCTGTCTTTGCTCTCCTCTTTTATACTCAATCTATCTTTTATCTCTCTGAAAATCTGCCTGGTACTTAGCTGCCCACACAGTCAGTCTTATTCATCATGACACACACACACACACACACACACACACACACACACACACACACACACACACACACACACACACACACACACACACACACACACACACACACACACACACACACACACCTGAGTGGGAGCTGACAACCAGCTGTTGCCAGGCAACATGTTGAAGTTGGGTCCAACTTTACAGTGAAGGAAACAGTGAAACAGTGACATTTGACTCAGGCAGCAGACTTTGTTCTCTTATTTTCTGTCAAGCAAAGCAGTAAAAATGGATAAGAAGGTTTAGGGGGTTTTCACACACTGATGGACAATTTGACCAACACAGACACCGTTGAATATGTATTCATATAGACAGCACACCTCCATCTTTTCTTGTTGTGAGGAGTAAAGTCAAAAGATAATTTTGGTGGGTGCTGCTGTGTCACAATACCTGCAGAGACGCACTTGCAAAAGGGATCTGGCTGTTGGAGCAACAAGGCTAATGTCACACCTTTACTGCCAACCAAAACACCACTTTCGGATGATAACCTCTTAAAAGTACTTGGGCATTTGGATAGTGTAGTTAAGTCTAATGAAATGCAAAAAAAATAAGTTTAAGTGACACTCAGGTTTTCTTCTAGATTTAAATCCTGCTTTACTCAGTGCCAAGAAAAACTTGTGCAGGCTGCATTTCTATCTGTGATTGATTTGGTGTTCTGGTTGAATAAATGACAACATAAAGCAAAATTACACCATTATGCTGATGACACCGTGATCTATACCCACCCCCCCTCTATTGCAAAAACAGTTCAGGAGCTTCATATCACTCTATGCTAACAGCTCTACTGAATTGAAATCTAGTTTTGAATGTTTAAAAACAGGTTTAAAAGCTCGCTTGCAACAACCAGATGAACTTAATCTTTTCTATTGAAGATAATCCCATTCAAAATGTAACCTCTTAAAAGTACTTGGGCATTTGGATAGTGTTGTTAAGTCTAATGAAATGCAAAAAAAATAAGTTTAAGTGACACTCAGGTTTTCTTCTAGATTTAAATCCTGCTTTACTCAGTGCCAAGAAAAACTTGTGCAGGCTGCATTTCTATCTGTGATTGATTTGGACGATATACTGTACATACATATTCATGTATTTTGTAAACCCTTGGCTCTATGTATCATGCATCTCTTTGTTTCATCACGTACACTAAATTCCTCACTGACCACTGTTTTTTTACAATACACCTTGACACTGTTTGTCCCCTGCCATGAGGAAACAACTAACAAGAAATTTGAAGCACAAGTATCATTAAAGAGGTGGTGATGGCTGGTGTCTTGACCATTTAAGAACCATTGCTCTAAAACATTTTTCTGTCATCTGTTTTATTGTAAGGAACATCATGCTGTTAGAAGAAGACTAAAGCAAATAACTGTGATGATAAATTTACAAGAGAATTTTTTTCTGCAAAGAAAGTCAACAGAAATTTTGGAAAATATTATACTAAATTTCTGTCTTTCTTTCCAGGTTAGCTTCCCTGTGTTTATTATCAGCATCAAAAAGAACTACTCTGACTCACAGCCTGGTCCTCAGTCTGTTGACATTGACGGCTAATATTTGTGGGCCTCAGGTTCACACGTTCATCCTCTGGAGTCCACAATTATCAGCTGTCAATGTCAAGGCAACGTGACTAGTATTTTTGGGGACATTTATCCTCACACAAAGACGTCCCCAAAGAGTTGACAAAGAATTACATATTTGTTAACATGTTTTTTTTTTTTTACTGTGTGCTGCAGAGTCATCCGTCTCTATACTGTGACCTCTAAAGACAACAGTGTTTTACATAGAGACACATACAGAGAGAGAATATAGGAGGTATAAAACAGACAGGAGTTTCACTGACAGGCAGCAGCTGCATGATGGGAATTACCACTATGACCTTTGACCTTCTCCTCACCATCCTCTACCACAAAGCAAACATGGCTGCGGTCTACTGAACATTTCTACATGGTGTCTGGTATCTGAGTGATAATCCCCTGCACGCACACACTGACCAAATACAGGGTGTTTGTGTGTGTGAGTCATCAAGAGCCCAAAAAGACCTCCAAGGCCAAATCACATGCTGCCTACACACACACACACACACACACACACACTGAACTGCTGCAATGCCTTTCTGCCTTTTTGTCCAGCTGGATGACCTTCAGACCCTCAACGCATCATTGCATCATCATCCCTGGTGTGTTTGTGTGCATGAAAAAAAAATCACAGATATGATGTCATACTAGCATGTCTCCATTTCCAGGTTAAATCTGGGCTGCATTTTTGTTGTTAGAGGTCAAATTCTTTTTCTTAACTATATCTCAAATTAAAGCAAAGTTATACTTGAGCCTGCTTGTTTGGGTTGAACTTTACACAGGGGGGTTACAAGGGGTTTGTTATTAAAAATGTCTGGGTAAAGTTGAGATAAAAAAAAATGAAGTATGTGTTCACACATTCAACCCACCCTGAAACTTTTAAAAGGGTTTCATGGATTTTTTAAAATTTTTAAGCTCTGTTTTTGTTCCTCTTCAGTCTTCTTAGGGGAGTGGTTGCCTTCATAATAACTTGATGCTAAATGTTATTTGATATTATTCACATCTCCTGTTTGCAAGTCCAATCTTAAACATACTCTATTTATGCTTAATGAGGTGTCAGGACGAGGGTAAATTCAAAACATTTTTGTGTTTCCCTGCTTTTACAGTGTCATGTTTTCTGACAAAAAACCTAATCTTTCTGACTTTTGACAGTCAAATGTATGATCTTTTTTGTGAATACTCAGAATGGAGTATGAGGGGGTAGGGGAGGGGGGGCTACCCCCTCAAAACAGTCACAGGCATTAAGGATAACCACATAAAAATCCTTAATCCTATAAATAATGGTGTTGTTTATTATAAAATGTCATCAATGGTAATTTAAATCCATTCCATAAACATAAATAAAAATCCTCACAGTAGCTTTAAAAATGTCAAAACTTGTAACTTTGAAGCTGATAAAACGAAGTGCTGAATTAGGATGGGTTTTGACCAACACACAATAGATTTCCCTGCTATAACAACTGTCTTCAACATACAATAACTATAACTTTACCTTATAGGATAAGTAGAGTTCATGGCTGATGATTCACCAGAGTGGGAGGACCAGAGGAATAAGTGCTTGAACAGAGAGCTGCAGAGCTGCAGGGTTTGAGTCTCATCTGGGAGGAAATGCTGCCTCACAGTGTGGGGGTCAGAGTGGGGCCAGCCTTAAATCTGAAGTGTCAAAAGTGTCTGGAAGCGCAATATTTTTAATCACACAGCTGTGAGAAATACCTTGTGTCATTATGTGATAATATCAACAGTAGATCAGCTTGAATTTTGACACGCAGTGGTCTTTCTTGTATTGTCCCATCCGTTTGATCACACTCATCCCCAACTTCTCAGACTCTGGCCGGTTTGGCATCACTTATTCTCTGCAGACTCTCTGCCCCTCTCCACCTCCACCCCCTCTGCCTCCAACCCCTCCTCTTTTCTGACTAAAGCTCTGCTTCTCACTTGGACTTCAGGGGGACAGGAGCACTTCATTATCATCTCACCGCAGCTTAGAGGGGTGGAGATATTGAAGTTCTAAAGATCTTAAAACTGCTTTGTCACTTTTATATCTGTACACTTAGTAAAAGAGATCATGTACATTTTTGTTTTAGGACAAATATATATAGCTCTTTTATTCATCTCTGGTGCTCTGGATAATGTGCATTAGAGAGTCTCTTACGGTGCTTGTTTTACAGGAAAGGTGTATTTAAGTTTATTCCAAAAGACTAGAAAGACTTTTAAGACAAGGACAAAAATCATCTTGAGGCCATCACCTTATTTTTCGATCAAACTAACATTTATGTAAATTTACTTCAGGTTCAAAAGCTAATCACTCAAAACATCCTAATTTACATGAAAATCTTTTTGTTTTAACGTTTTACGTAACATAATGTTTAATAGTTGAGCCCTTAAAGAGGAATGACCCAACTATTAAAAATTACATTTGAATATATCCATGGAAAGATCATCAATAGTTTATACACAGAAATGATCTGTTCTGGTTTTCAAATAAAACGGAAAATGTAAAAATTTTTTAATCTAAAAAAAGGTGAGTGTAAAAGATTGACTGGTAATTGAATGTGATAACATACACTGCCTCCCAACAGTCACTCCATGAATCAACAAATCAGATGAAAATGCCTTTTCCCCACTTTTTTTTTTTTTTGTTGGATTGCTCGCGACTAGCGGCAATGAACACCAGCTCTGCTAGCGAGCACCGTCTGCAGCTGCCTGAACAGCTACTGTGTTGCCATAGCTGCTACGTTACTTTTAGTAACTAGCTACTTTTAGTTACTAGCTACTTTCAGAGCACAGAGGAGGGACGGGAGAGTGGGAGGGGATGAGTCAGAACTACGGGAGAGGGATGTGTCGAACACAGTGAGGTGATTGGATGGAGAGGCGGAGCAGGAGATTGACCAATAGGAGCTGTCTGGGATGGATGGCTCCTATTGGTCATTGTTTTTGTGGCCCTAAACCTGCCAGGGATTTTTTCCATTCTTTTTTCTCTTCACTTTGTGGCGATCGCACTACAGGACCATGATAGCCATATAAACAGGGTTCATAATAGTTACCAATCTCTCCAATCGTCAACCATGCCCTCAAAAAATAGCCTATTCTCTTGGCCTCAGTTATTCTCAATGTCTGAATACATTCGGGGTATGTTTTTGACAAGGTGACTAACAGAAGACTGCAGTTATATTTTCCGAGTTAATCATGGGGAAAAAAATAATGGTGTTTATGCATTTGCTTATAAAATCATTTGGCTTCAGTAGGCTAAATCTCCAGGTGGGCTACAGTGCAGTAACATTTATAAAACTGACAAAGGCCTAAGGCTGAACTTTATTATAAAAATAAGGTTTATTGTGGATTTTCTTATCGATACATGAAATAAACAGCACTCAGCACTGGCCACCGCTGACGGTTTGCTGCTTTAAACACATTCTTCACAATATAGCGCCGCCCCGCCGGTGCATCGCTGTGTCTGAAACAAGCGCACCGCAGTCTGCAGTCCGGGCCGTACTGAGGCAGAGCGGAGCGGAGGGGCGGGGGGAGGTAGAGGAGGAGGAGGATTGGTGGATTTGAGGACTCGCTTCTCCTGCGTTGTTTTCCCTGCGAGCACTCGGCAGTCTGTCCGTCCGTCCTTCACTCCGAGCGGGACTCCTCTGCGCTTCTGTCGGCCTCCAGGTGAGTGCACAGCGGGGTTGAGCATTGTTGGTCTGCTTTATTTCATTTCCAGTCCGACAATGGACGGATTTGATTCATTGTTTGCGTGACTGAGCTGGGGTAGCATCCACATCCTCGACGCCTGTGGCTGTGGCGGGGATGTGCATCCTTTAACTCTGATATCTGAGGATCGAGCACACCTATCCCGGACTAAACCTGTCTTTAAAGCACCGTGCTGCAGCGGGCTGTTGGCGCCAACGGAACCGGGCTGCGAGCTCCTTTCTCGGCTCTTTCTCTGCTTCCCATCGCTCTCCATCGTGCTGTTGAACTTGTGTTGGTGTGTGTTTGTTTGTGTGCCTGTTTTTGTGTATGTGTGATGGATTCAGTGCGCCAGAGCTGCTGCTGGTTGTTGTTTTTGTATTTTTGGAGAACTCTGCATCTTTCTCTCTGTGCTTTTCAAGGTCTAACTGAAAGGGTATATTCTCCACCTTGTTTTTGTGATGTAGATGATGATGAAGGAGATGATGTAGGAGATGTAGGTGGTTGGTGCAGGCGTGGTCGCCTTTTGTGACCTCATCCTCATAACACTAAGACAAAAATATTACCATAATACTCCTGTGTATCATCTCCAGAGGGACTCTGAGTCCCCGCAGTGACCTTCTCTGTACTTTGGGATGTTTCAGTCCCTCTTTGTGTGACTTTGGTGTCACCGCAGACTTCATTTCTTCAGAATTTATGCTTTTATTATGTTCTCCTAGTCTGATATTACTGCTAAATGCATTTAGGCTCCTCTTGCGCCCTTTGATAAAAAAAAATTCTGTGTTTTATTTGCAGTTGTAGCTGTTTGTAAGTCTTTTGTGTTGACCTAAATGAGTGCAATCTCCCTGTAATGTATGTCTGGCTGACTGTAGTGGTTCTGTGGTGGTAAAATGTGCGTAACGCTGCTGCTTTGAGGCGTTTTTCTTTTGCGCAGACCCTGTTTCAAATCCTGTAGAGCAATTATGTAATCAGATACAGGCTGGGCTGCTGCTTTCTCTCCTCCCTCCCCTTCTCTATTTCTTCCCTTTTCTCCTTTTGCCTTTTCCTCCTAATCTTCCTCCCCTTTTCCTTCTCTAATCTGTCCTCTCCAATGTCTTTCCATCCACTTTCTTCCTCCTCTGTAACTCCTTCTTCTTGTCCTCCATCTCTCTTTTCTTTTTGTTTTCTCCCCTACTTCTCCAAATTCCTCTCTCTTTGATTTACCTCCTTTTTACCCTCTTTCTCACCTCTTTTGGGCCTTATCATTTTGTTTCTTTCCCTCCCTGTATACCTTTCGCACCTCCCCTCTCCTCATTTCTTTTGATGCAGCAACTGGGAGACACTTGGCAACTTGTTGACCAGAGCCTTTAAGACGTCACAGTGAGGTGTCGAGTTGTTCCACAGCTCCTGCTGCTTATACAGCATGCCGCAGTAAAACAACCATTATGTAATAAACTTTAATCCTTTGGGGGTAAACCTGGTTTTAAAGCCATATTTTGATGATAAGGATGTCAAAATGCATAAATATTTGCGGTAGAGTTGTTGGGCTTTACATCTGCACGCACAGAGAGGTCAGATCTAGAGGAATCAGGGCTAAGATGGAGGCCGTGATCTTAACTGAAGTCTTTATTAGAACATTGATATCCACTCATCACCGTTTTGCTGAGGGAGTTTCTCAAGCAGATTTCAAAATGGCACTTCAAACCTGTTTTCACCCTTTCTCTGAAAAACATATGTTATGATAAGGAGACAGGGTTTGCCGAGGATGTTATGGTAATGTTTGTTTTCAATTACTTTACTTCAAAAGAATCACTTCAGTCATCAAGGATGTTACCAGATGTATGACGTCGATTTTCTTGGAAATATTATTTGGGTTTGGCTTTTTTAACCCCACACATTTCCCAACTGGGAACCTACATCACCCACGATGCATCTTGTGTCGGATTTGCTTTGTGTTAAGTTAACTAGAAAATCAGATGTCATCACCGAGCTGCTTGGCTCCATAAGGAATTTTTTCTAAAGCTATATCAGTAATATTTGTATTCTTGGAGGTCTAAAATGCCATGTCATGTGGGTGGCAAGCCATCAAGTGAGGCTGCGACTTTGTCGTCATTGGCGAGTCGACTGATGCTTTGTACAAAGTCGACATACAGTGCCCCACCTTTGACTTTTACTTTTCCATCTAACATCTAACTCTACATCGCCTTTTTCCGGATGTGTTGATCCATTATTTTCTTTTTTGTGCAGGTTTACTTGGCTACATCCTTTATTTTTGTAGGATATAATTGCTGTACTAGCTTCTTCAGGTCAAAAGTGCATGGATTGGCCAGGTTACAATGAGAGCGCCCTCTACTGGATTTTATGGCAAGCTTCTTCAGACGGCCTGATTTGCTGGTATTCTGTATATCCTGTGTTACTGTGAATTCAAATGGCTCACTCCAGTTCAAATATCGACTTTAAACAAAGGTTTGGATTTAAAGTGACAGTCATACGATGCAGTCTCTGTTTAACGTTGTATCGAGGAGCACCAGCGCCAATGTAAGAGAGCACATTCATATTTCATACCTGAAGCTGTCACAAGGAACCAAGAGAGAAGAGCTTATGACAGAGTGAGGGCTGGTAAAGTGAATAAACAAAACAGAAAATGAAAAGTGACTCCCTGATTGTTTTACAGCAGTAGTGCTTGTGCATTATCATGTCTGAGTATCCTGTGGTCCACTTCGATTACTGACATTGCATTGACAGACTTCTCTTATTCATAAGTTGGGAAAAAAAAAAAAACTGATGTTTTTGTGAGGTCTGTTTGGTATCTGGGGATGTAAAAGGATTACGTTTATGTCTGTTGCAGACAGAGCAGAGGAAGATCATCTACAGGATCAGTACATGTGACTCAAATAACTTAAACTGGGGACTTCTTTGGACCTTGCATATGTCTGATGCATGAGAAGCTTAGGATTACTTTTGAATCATACCAAACTCTTAAAGCTCCTTATAAATTTCCCATGGAGAAGATTGAAGTAGCTGGTTGTTATAAATCTTTGATCTTGAATATGACTGAAGTCATGTCCTAGATATAAATGCTCATCAAATGAAACCGCTCTAATATTTTCCTGGCTATAACTCACGGTTAAAACAAAGTTCTTTTCCAAAAATGTACACTTCTTTACTTTCCATGTGATGTTTGCTGATGTGGCCAGAGCTTGGATCTGCTGTTTGTGTTTACAGGCTCTTTAAATTAAGTGGAGCAGAGCCAGATATAGATGGGAGAGAGGGCAGGCTGCAGTGAGGTTTATGGGAAATGTGGTTTTAATTCAGTAAAAGCCAGAGAGTATCCTTAAAAAAAATAGTCCCTGAACTTGTTTCCCTCAGCGAAGAGACTCTTTCATTTGATGCTGGGTGGCCTACAATCTTTAATTTTATTTGTTTATCACACCGTATCCAGCCGGTCAATAAGTCTTGTTGTTTAATCTGTTCCTATCAGCAGGTTTGGATGTTTTGACCATAAATGATCTGCAGGGAGGTTTTAAGTGAATTGATGCACCTGCAGGAAACATGAGCAGTGCTGTGGGGAGCACTTTGGCTCTCGGTCAGACTTTTCCTTCCCTCACTGATACCTCAGATTTGTGGAGGTGGTGGTGATGATCCAGCTTTGGCTCGGCACAGCCGTCGCGATGCAGAGAGAGATTGGAGCAGTTAATCATCTGCTCTGCTGCAGTGTCTTGTGTAGCAGCTTCATCTTTTTAATACCAGGCTAATATTAAACCTGAACCGTTCATGTCGCATTTGTTCATCTTTCTGTGTGAGACAAGTCCATGAAGGAACACACAGAGAGGAGTACAGGTTTTTACCGGTTACATAACAAATTCTTTTATAGAAACACTGGTAGAGACGGTCCACAAACCTGCACACAGCATAGGAATGAGACATATTTTTCCCAGGGCTAGAAAATGTGCTCAGTAAACTGAAAGGAGTCTTGAAAAGACAGGGGCTCTGTTTTTTTTTTTTTTTTGGTGTATTTCTTTTTACATAATTTTTGTTCGAAGTGACTGCAGGCACATATGCTTTTGAAGTAAGTTTCAGCAGAGAAACTCAGCCTGCAGCCATGAAACAGGCTTTAATGACTGCTATGTAACCTTCAGGTACACATGTGTCAAACCAAAGTCTGACAGTGCTGGTGTCTGTCACTGACATACTGAGGCTGTAGCTGTAATTATGATGATATAGAAAATATCCCACTTTGAATAAACTTTGCGATTTAACAGATGTTTCTGGTTCATCCAGTCTTTAAAGCTAGTGGACTTGTGACAATTTGTATTCAACATAATGACACCATTGACAATGACACACAACTTTATGCTGTAAGATATCTGTGTATTTCTGCACTAAACTCAAATAAGACTTTAATTTAGATTTTAAAATTTAACAGTGATTATCTGATTTTTCCATAATTAGTGTGTGAGTTGCTGGTCTACCCCTGCCTTGATGGGGCTGTGTGTGTGTGTGTGTGCATTTTTTTAAACACAACATTACACAAAAGTATATAAAAAGTGTAGACAAACAACTCCCATATCAGTGAGGTAATTTATTTGTGTCAAGTATTAAAAATGTTTTTCTTATTGAACTGAAGTAATACTGTCCATTATTATTTCTCTTTGTTTACTCCTGACATTTAATGACATAATTAGGGGTGGGAATCACCATTGCGATACCATATATTGCGATTTATACAAAGTTTCCCACTGCTTAGCTAATTTAGCATTTGTCTTTCCTTTATGTTTGTCTTATTTATGCTGTATTTTATTTTCATGTAGCAAATCTCACAAACCTTATATATATTTGTTGTACTAACTTTCTCCTGCTCTATGATGTCACCTCTGCCAACCTCACTGGACAAACAGTTGATTTTATTTTTCCATTTTCATAGATTTGACTTCATATTATCAATTAATTTGATAAATCGATACTTGGTTAATGAGACGGTACGATAAAAGACAAAATATCACAATACTATGTTGTATCAATTTTTTC